AAATCAACCCCAGGTACATGTTACGATCTCACTTTACAAATACGCATAACTAAGTGTTTCATTTGGAGGATTTTATTTCATACTTAAAGAAATGAAGTATCTCCATTTCCTACAACTGCCCAGAAATGAAGCAAAAAATATCCTAGATCCAAACTTTAATTGACTTTTTCTTATCACATCTGTAAACATGGAGGGGGGGGGATTAATAACCTATTCTACACTCAGCCACCAGGTGGCGATAGAAACGCTATAGCCTTACTTTGGCCTTATGAGCAGTCATATCAATGTTTATATAGAGTCTATGCTTAAGAGAGGTGTTGGATCAAGTTTCTGGTCATAGTGGAGGCTGCAGCCAGAGGTACTGTTGTGTTATTGTGTTACTTTATTGCAATTTTAACAACAGTTGTTTCTGCTATTTTGTGCTGCCCATGTAAAACTCTGTAATGCAATACAGTTCAGCAGCACCACAAAGGAATCACCACCTCTCTAACCACAGTTTACCTCTGCTGAGGCCCAGTCCCCTTCATTTCAACCAACATTAAATTACACATACTGGCCTTTAGACTCTCTGATGTCCCGGCCATCACCAACCTCTACTGCACCACTGGATCACCCATATGTTCTTACACATGCTCTCAATGTTCGACTAATATCTTAATTGATAGTGTTTCTGTATTAATTTCCTGTATTCCTATTGTATAATATTAATAATAAAATGCTGCTACACTCAGCCAGCTTGCAGTGGACTTTAGGGAGAATGTGTACATGACTGGATGCATGTCGCTTGGCAAGGACCAGTGTTAGCTCAGATTCAGTGTTTGAGATTTAATCTGGATCCAATTTAGCCATTTTTCTTCCTGCACACACAGATACTTATGAAGGACAAAAATGACACAAGTGTGGATGAAGAGATAAATGCAGGAATTAAAATTGAAATACACAAATCCTCCTCTGTATTCTGACATTGATTACTTCATTTATATTTACATAAATAAGAAGGAAGGAAGTAACTATCTAATTTACTTACTTAATGTTATTTGTAATTGATAACTCACAGGAGGCTGCTGATTTGCTGTCCACGCAGTTTCTGTGAATTAAGTTTAATTTTAAAGTTCTGCTGGTGAATAATTACACAGACCGTGTTGTCTTCCCTCTCAAAGTAACAGAGGCCGTGAGCACTGGGCCTCTCACCTTCACAGAGAAGCTGCACGTCATCAAAGTTAGTGTAACCCTTCAATGTACGTCAGAGTTGAGTATTCGATTGTCTGAGAGTTGACATGATTATTCCTCTTGATTCCTATGACCAGGGCTTGTTGAAGTTTGTGTTTCCGTTGGGACTGGTCTACTTTGCTGAGTACTTCATCAACCAGGGCTTGGTAAGTTCTCTGCTGCATTTATCTTACTTCAGGTTATTCATTTATTTTCAGCCCATTTAAACACTGAATAAGAAAACATTGCAGGTATTGGAGATTATAATATTGAACTGAAATGTTTCCTTCTCCAGATGGAACTCCTGTATTTCCCAAACTTTTTCCTGTCCCATGCAGAACAGTATCGCTGGTCAGTTAAATTGTATTCTTTTGGATTTGCTTTATTTATACTGTCTAAAGATGGAGACCTCTGTTTGGTAATGTTTTTTGTTTGTGCTCAGGTACCAGACATTGTACCAGGTTGGTGTGATGGTGTCTCGATCCTCCCTGTGCTGTGTGAAGATCAGAAAAATGTGGGCTCTGTCTTTGCTACAGGTGAGATGATAATCTGTAATATGCAAGATGCCGGAAGGTGGCTTTTTGAGTTGACACCTCATGATTGCGACCACAGACTGTGCATATAGACGATGCGTCTCCACTTCCTCCCACTTCTCAGAAATGAAGCTAAAATATCCCTGCCCAAGATCTACCTTAAATGACAGAAGCTATGTTTCAGAAAAATGTATTTGACGTCTACTTTGTCTTTTTAACTTGGTCTATTTCCCATCTATTATTGTGGAGGAGGCAGGACCAATACTGCCAGCCACTGCAGTCATGTCGTTCATCTTTATATGCAGTCGATGCCTGCGGATGAAAAGTCAAAATAATCTCCTTCACTAACCACTAAGGTTACTGAAAGATGTGAAGAAGCCGCAAGGAGTTAGGAAAAGAGAACCGTGGTATGGAGAAAATCTGAATCCATTAATACTCTTACTACTTTTTCCTCTAAAGCTAACTAAATATTTTTTATCATAAGGTACACACAGAATGAACAGTAAAGTAAGAAATATAGTAAATGTTCCTGTCAAAACAGAATGACATGTATTAAGAAAAGATGTTTTATGCAGAGGATACATTTAACCATTAGAGCTTTAGAGGAAGTAACTATTTATCATTACTCTTATTTATTTTATAACATATATATAATATATATATATGTTTAATATACATATGATATCTTATATAGGCCTATGTAGAAAATTCTTTTTTGCATGCGTTTTACAATCTGGCCATTGAAACAACTTTTATATTTGTATTGTGTTATGATGATGATATTTATATTTGTATTTAGTTTCTAATGTGCAGTTCATTATGCTTGTTCTTCACTGGACAGATGTTTTAGAGAAGAAATCAGGAGCTCAGACAAATGTGAGGATTTATATCAGTTCTGGATCGTGTTAGGAGAAGTAAACTGCAATGAATTCTGGGATGGCATTTTCCTCTTTTCTTTTGAAAAGGATGGTCTAGTGTTTCCTCTGCTCAATGAGATAAGTTAAGAAACCTCGAAGCTCTTTTCCTTATCATTTAGAGACTTTGAACAGCTCTCATCGCGGTGGCTGGTTTCAGGTCATTACACTCGGTTGGCGACCTGCTTCAGCTAAATGAATTCAAATGCACCCTGTGATTGCTATCTTGTTGTCTGGCAGAGAAGGCGGGGGTGAAGAAAGCGCTTGAAAGAGGAAATCGATTTCCTTTTGTGGCTTTGTAGATTACAAAATTATAGCAGGGTCTGATGCTCACCATGCAGTACAATCTCTACATTTACACCATCTATTATATTATTATCATCTTAACTATTTCTGCTGAGTTTGCTGGGATTATTTGAATTATTGCAAATCTCTTTTAAACATGCTGATTTCCATTTTGTTCCTAGTGATATGCAATCATCGATCCTCAAGCGCCAGAGTTATCAGAATGATCAGTATTGTGTCATGTCAAATGTCTGCAAACTTTAAGTCAGAATATTGATTCCTCACCCGAAACAGAAATAGGTTCAGCAGTACAAATACTCAAAATAGTCACATGCTTGGAGTTGTGACTGCTGACCCATCTGTTTTCTAGTGCTGTGGCTTTCTTTCTTGTGTGAAAGTGCTGATTTCCCCACTCTGTTTTTTTCCATCTGCTCTCCTCTCTGACCTCCACAGGTGGTGAACGCGGTGGTGCTTCTATTTGCCGTACGTTACCAATTCTTGCCCAGTGCCTGGCTGGTGTTTGTCATTGTCCTCTATGAGGGTCTGCTGGGTGGAGCTGCGTATGTCAACACCTTCTACTTCATCAGCAAAGAGGTCGGGTCAATTTTCAGTCACCTGGTTTGTTCCTATGGTGTCTCCAATTGTGTTATGACAAGCAGCTGGACTGGTTCATCTAGAACCAGCATCACTAAATCCTACACACTTGTCCTTAAACATTTTTTGTGCTTATTTTAAACTAAAGTTGGAGCTGTGTTGTTTCTCAGTCTGCAGCAAATATCCAGTATGTGTCCATCCTGAGGTCTGTCTATTCTCCCACAGAGTGAAGACAGACACAGGGAGTTTGCCATGGCTGCTGCCAGCGTAGGAGACAGTCTGGGTATAGCTCTGGCTGGACTTGCTGCTTTCCCTGTCCACAGATTCTTCTGTTCCCTGTGACCCAGCCCACACACTTACAAACAGGATGAATAAGCAAGATGTAGGTGGGTTCCAGTTAAGGGATTTGTTTTTTTATCTGAAATGGAAGAAAAACTGCATAATTCTGGTTCCACAAACTGGTTTTCAGAGAGTTGAGATGCAGTCTGGGTTCCAGGGTCTGGCGGCGGTGGCGGTGGTGGTGGTTAGGGAATTTTTAAGGTTTACATTTTTTTTCCCAGTGGTGTGACTCTCTATTTAATTCTGATTCAGAGGGCTTGGACGCAATTATAAAACGATTCTTGGTCTTAGTGTGTTTTAGGTTATTAAAAAACAAGGTAATTGATTTTTTTTTTAATACAGAACTAACTACAGCAGAAGTCACTACTAATGTTTCATCTGTCAGTGGAAACAAATCGGTCCGTAAGTGGAAAAAAATAATACTTCTGAGTGAAGTTTAAAAATGATGAATAAGACCGACATGAGTCAGCATCCATCCTCCCTCTGCAGCTACTGTGATTCACTGTCTGTAGGTATCACTGGTACAGAGAGGTGGTTTGTCTCAGAGTGTAACTGAGTTTATAAGAATTTGCCTCATTTAGATTTGTGGCAAACTAAGATAAACAGGCTGCATAGACTTTATTTAAAGAAGGCCAACACATCTCCTCTTCCTTCCACTACCCAGAAATTAAGTCAAATATCCCAGATATGAGCGCTGCCATCTTGCACATCTGTGCTGTAGCAATCAGGGGATGGAGCCACGGTATCCAGTCTCAGCTATCAACCATGATGTTTCACCCTGTTTTTATAGCATCAAATTACTTTATTAAAACCAAAACTCACCAGGGAGGTGAAGACTTTAACAGAATTTAGTGTGATGTTAACTACCTTAAATGATAGAAACCATCTTTGAGGAAAATGCTTTTAATCTGCACTTTGTCTTTTTTAGTCTGGTCCATGTCCCATCCACTAACATTGAGGAGGCAAGGTTTATGAACTATAATGCAGCCAAACACTAGGGGGCAATCAAGACACTTTGGTCTCACTCTCAGCGCTGGCATTCCGTCCATCTTTATGTACAGACTATTGTACACAAAGACAGTTTAGCTTGGGCATCACATTTTGCTGTTGGTTTAACATGTGCACCGTGTTTGTGGAAAACAACAACTGCAGACAAAGCAGATGGACATGTCCTTTTTATGTCTTTTCTTTTTACTGAGTTGACATAACCTTGAGAGAGGACTTAGCTTAATTTCACCACAGCCTGAAGCAAGGTTAGGTTAGGTCATCCTTTGAGTAGCAGTGATCAGAGCATGTGACTCGTGTGATTTGCTTACTTAGCTCATTGTGTTGGAGTTTAGCCTGTTCGCACAGGCAGCCAGTGTCCTGCAGAGAAATAGCCCACTGCTTATGCTGACGTGAAAGTGCTGAGAATGTTGACGGCTTGTTTTGCACAAACTTCAGTGACAAATAGCTGCTTCACAAGAAAAGAAATACAGCTTGAACACCACACTTCTCTAAGAAACAAAATATGACATAATCGGAGTATTTTTAGTATATTTTATTTAATAGTGTTTCCTGATGAAAATGCTCTTGAATCACAGCCTTAGGGTTTAAAGTGCTACCATTCTCTGACAGCAAAAATAAAATGTTTAGTTTAGGAAGAACTGACCCGAGTGTGGAGGTGGTACGATGTTTTTTTTCTATCTTGAAGTATTCAAATAAAAAGTGTGGTAACCTTTCACTATCTAAGCTGTCATTATACGAAATAAAAGCAAAACTGTTATCTTCAACATGTTAGGTGACAAAACCTGTGTGTTGATAATTAGTCATTTTGTTTAATTTATATCTAATACTGATGGTGTGAGAGGTTTCATTTTTATGATACACTTTTATTACATCTTGACTCTTTGTCCTCAATTCTGGCACACAATCCAAGAACTCAACCATGTGACAGGATCATTTTTTGGTTGATAACAGTAACAGAATTACTGAAATTACTTAAAACTGCTTCATTCAACAACAAAACAACTAAAATCCATTCAGAAGTTAAAGCAGCACAGCAGGTGAAAGTGTTTATTTATGACCTTTGTATTCTTAGAAAAAGGCTGAATCAGGCTGTTGCATAAGTAACTGACCTTTGTTTTACCTTTAAGTCACTAATACTATTTCCCTGTCATGACTAAATTGACCAGTAATGCCTTTTACTGTTTCTCCTAAGCTTTTATCAACATGTGGCTTGACCTATTGTGTTTTATTTGCACTGTAACAATCTGTAATACTGGACAATGCACAGAGATTTAAAAAGATGTCTGTCATGACTGTCAACATCACCAGGACACTTTTGTAGTGCACTTGTTTTTACTTGAGTGCTTCTTTTTTACACCAAAAATCTAAATTTTTCCTGCTTTCTCAAAGTAATATGAGTTTAAAATGACATAATGATTTAAGAGTCTGCCCAGATGTTTTTCATATTCTGAAATACTGTGTTTTATTCCATAAGTGCACATTCCTTCTGAAATCTTTCACTACCAACAATTTATATGATACTGCTGCTGCTGATGAATTGTTTTTTACAGTGTGATGATATGTTACAAACCAATGTTGACATAATTAAATTATGTTGAAGTTTGTTGTCGCGTAATTGCTTTTTCTATGGTTGTGCATATAAAGCATTAAAAGAGGTCTTGTAGAAATAAAAGATGGGAAAAATGTGTGCATTGTAAAACAAGGTTTTATAACCCTATGAAATACTTTGATTGCATTGTCATTGTTGCCTCTGCTCATTTTGATATAGATGGCATGTTGTTTGCCCATGAGTCATAGACGGTTAGTGTTGGTGTGAGTGAGTCACTCAAGTCTGACACATTATCTGCCTACTATTTAAATATCTTGGATTGTTAGTCAAATCAATGCTGTTGTAAAATAATACTGAGGATTGTTGTTTTCATTGGAACTGTAAAAAATGGTTTGTAACAGCGACCCCTGCAAATTATTTTTAGCAATTCACCATCTCATGATTTGCTCATAGAATTGTGAAAAATATAAATTTTAATAAACCAAAAACGACTCTTCATTCAACCTACAGCTCAAACTCCAAAAGTATTCCATTTATAATTGCACAAAATTATAAACAGGAATTAAGGATTGGCATTTTGCTTGAAACATTTCTTTAGCACAACCTTCCTTGTAAGCTGTGCGGTCGTTCCACTACCAAGAGACATTTGTTTTTTTATGCGTTAAGAAATCATTCAAATCCATAAAAACAAATGAAAAACTCTATTTTGAATTTTAATGTGTGCCTGACACTACTTTTACACATAAAAACCTAAATATCCTTCATTGAAAATATTTCTCCATCTCCCTTATTGAAAATAGCGAATCTATATATGTATGCATATAGAACCTCATTGCCACATGTTCAACAGGAGGACATGTCTTTGTTCCATTTTCTTCGTGTTGTTTGACTTTTATCTTTTTACTCTCGAGCTTCCTGTGTTTCCCGAGCAATGCGCGTCCCCTACACCGGAAGTCGCAGTGACGGCGCTGGCGTTCATGAGCACGACAGGAGCGAGAGAACCGGCAGAGACCGGGGCAAGAGGAGCCGGTGGACGGCGAGAAAACACAACCCACGGGATGAAACAAGCTGCTGTGCGCTTCTTCTCACAGTTCAGCCGCCACTCACCAAGCGGTAATCACTCTTACGTTGGTTTCGGCGACTTAGCGGCGACGCAAGAACCGTTTTTTTTAAATATAGCACGTTAGCATTAGCTTGCTCGCTCACGGAATTAGCCGAGTAGCGCTACGCCGCCTGTTCCAGTTAGTTAGCCTGCTAACAGACAGCGTTTCGCCAACTGACCTAAATACACGACTCCGTTTATTCAGCACGTTAAGAACGTGTAGTTGATCGGTGGTGTTTGGTGACATTTAGCATTAACCCTCGGGACGCAATACCCAGACGAAATAGTTGGCTAACTTATCAAAGAAGCAGTAGTTCGCTGACGTCGTTAGCGGTGATGTAAGCTAACATGCTAATGGTTAGCCCGCCGCTAAGCTACGCCCATAGGCCCCACATTCCTCACCGAACAACGTCGCTTTAGTTTGTTTTCTGGGGAAATATCCGATCAGCAAGGTGTGCGTTCCCAAGTGGTTTTCAACAAACGAAACCAATCGCCCTACCAGATTTAATTCTAGCCATCGCATGTATCAGATATCAAACAATAGACGTCAACTAAACTATCAAACTGTTTTTCCCTTTCTAGTTGGTTATTCTGAGCATCCCTACAGCAGGAGCGCGGCGTTCAACAGCTGAAGAGCCTGCACATTTCCAGCAGGGAGACTGTTGTGACTGTCTGCACCACTGCCTTCCAGAGACAGCCTGCGATTCCAGGGAGTGTGAGGAGGAGTGTGAGCGCAGTGTGTGAGCAGCTCTCCCTATGTGTGTGACAATGGGGGACATCAGCGACCTGGACCGACAGATAGAGCAGCTCAGACGCTGCGAGCTCATCAAGGAAAATGAAGTCAAAGCATTGTGTGCAAAAGCCAGGTAATCAATCAAAGCGATCAATGTAAAGTGATATTTGCTAAATTTATGAATCTTCGTTCATGCTGGTTACGTACATTTTCATTTAACCAACATTATGCATGCACCAAGCAAATTGAAGCAAAGTGTTAAAATACCCATACTGGGTGATATTGTACATATCGACAGAATCCATTAAAGCATTTCCTACTGTACAAACATTAATAGTGCAATGTTTTTGAGATTGGTGTAAGATCAACATCTTTGAGGAATTGGGGGGATTTACAAACTGAGCGTCAGTTATGTCTTCATGACCCTAAAGGACATCACATTGTTTTTCAAATGGTCTCCTGGAGACTTGCTCAAACTGCTACTTATACATTTAACTATCTGTTAGGTTTCAGAAAGATTCATTAAAATGGAGGAGTGTAGAAGTTAAAATGGAATTCTTCAGCATGGGGCTGTTAAGAAAAAGCACTTGCCTCCTCTGGTTAAGAGATTTTCCACTAGAGGTCATTGCTATATATCACTAAGTAATAATCATCTTGACTTCCATGTTTCCAGCTGTTTAGTTTTATTAATATATCAGAGAAAAAAACATTGTATTTTTTTATGTATGTTTATTTCAGAGAGATTCTGGTTGAAGAAAGCAATGTCCAGAGAGTAGACTCTCCTGTCACAGTAAGTAACACTTTTCCGCCCAGAATGTGTAAACTCAGAGTTTCATTAAAGTGAAATAATGTGCTAACCATGATTCTTCTCATTTTCCTCATAGGTATGTGGGGATATTCATGGTCAGTTCTATGACTTGAAAGAGCTATTTAGAGTAAGTTTCTTTTTGCTGTTGGTCACGTTTTTAATTTTTAATTTTATATTCTTAAGTTGGTTGGTCATACTGGATGCCTAAAAGATAATTCCTCTATTAGTCCCTTTTCCTTTACTTCACTGCAGCTGTCAGCTCTTCCTATGCAACACATACTATGAATTTAAAACACAATTTTAATGCAGACACACTAGCTGTGTTTTGGTATGTCCTCGATAGCTGCACTTAATTTTAAAGAAGGTTATTAAAGACATTATATAGAGAATTGAGTTGTATTTTATGTGAATTCTATTATATCACTCTGTTAAACTGCTTGTTGTTAATCTTACCACTTTGCAGGTTGGTGGCGATGTCCCAGAAACAAATTATCTCTTCATGGGTGACTTTGTGGACAGAGGCTTCTACAGTGTTGAGACTTTCCTTCTTCTTCTAGCGCTTAAGGTACCCAGACATTTAAATCCACGCCCACTGTATAAATGTACCATTCCCTCCTGTGTTGGCATAAATATAACAATTACAGCAAACTACAGATGGTTAAGATTTTAAAAATACTTTCAACACTCTAACAATACTGCTTATCAATCTAGTAATTATCTGTTCTTTTTGTTATTTATTTCCTAAGCAAAAGGAAAATTAAATATATTTGGTTGAGTTCATTTATTCAAATGGGATCACATAATTTAACATATAATACACCAAATAAAATATGATGGATAATTAATGTACATATCTGGCATATCTGTTAACAACCTTGTGCTGATAATAGCCTTCATCTCATTATTTTCATTGATGTAAATAGTTGAAATTCAGTTGATGCTTGGAACATTAAACACATTAAAATACACCCACAACAATCATTATTTTTATATTTCATGTCTGAATTTGATATGCTTCAAGGAAATGCACAAGGTATCCTGATCTTTTCGCATCTGCTGTGTTTCTAAGGTGCGTTACCCAGATAGGATAACCTTGATCCGGGGAAACCACGAGTCACGGCAAATCACCCAGGTCTACGGCTTCTATGACGAGTGCCTCCGCAAGTATGGCTCAGTCACTGTCTGGAGATACTGCACTGAGATCTTTGACTATCTGTCCCTCTCTGCTATCATTGATGGCAAGGTGAGATTCATTGTCCAGTACTGTATTTGACTTTGCTGCAGATTGAGTTAAATTTAATGACATACATATAGTTTTCATACATGTCGCTGCTTTAATACCTGTTTGAGTAACTTCTCACACACTGAATTGCTGCTATATCTGCTTCATCATTTGATTTAATTCCTCTCTCCATCCCTCAGATCTTCTGTGTGCATGGTGGCTTGTCTCCCTCCATCCAGACTCTGGACCAGATCCGGACCATTGACAGAAAACAGGAGGTGCCCCATGATGGGCCCATGTGTGACCTCTTGTGGTCAGACCCTGAAGGTACACTGGAGTCATTCAAGACTTTTAAACACTGCATTGTTGATTGATGTATTTATAATTTTTAACATACAGATGAGTTTCAAACTGTGGGGAATTTTAGTTTGACATACACAGGGTGTTTGTCTGGAAATGTTATGGAAAAAATGAAAACTATTTTCCGAGATATTTCAAAACATTTTCAATTTTACATATGACCTGTTTATATTTGAAATCACTTGTGTGTTGATCATAGATAAAGCATAGCACAGTAACAAGCCATGTTTTGTTTTCATGCACATTGTCTGGTAGAGGAACTGATTTAAGTCCTTTACTCAAGTAAACGTAAGAAAGTACAGGCTCTGAAATGCATTAAAGTACAAAAGCAAAAATGAATTTTTAACTTCAATGATACACGATAGTTTCCCTCTTTTTTAACAACTTGCCCAGTGCTGGTACAGAGAAAACAAATCACTGGAGACTGTCTAGTTTTGCTGCCAAATTTCAGACAGAATAATAAAGACTGAGCTGAACCGATGTCCTGCATGAGCACCTGAATAATTTTTTTATCTGGAATATATGGATGGGTAATGTGCTTGCATTGATTAAATCCCTGCCTTATCACACGCTGGCGATCAAACTTGACTATCTAGAGGAGGTAAAACTTATAAAAGGGTACAGACCAACCTCTGTATGCTTAGGGTCTCACGCTGCCACCGGGGCCTGTGCATCTCCCAAGGCAGGGGGCGAGTTAGAGAAAGGTGCTCCGCGCGGTGTGCCAACCTCTGCTGCTCATGCAATGGATGGGCAATATCTTGCTTCTCCGTATCTGTTCCTTTGCCTTTGGCAATGTTTCCTGGTTCACATTCATCCATGTCGCTGCTGGTATTTTTCTCTGTATCACAAACTGTGGAGAGAAGGCATTGAGTGAGTGTACCACTCGATGCCTTCTCTCAGCGGTTGACTTTGCCTCTCTCTGTGTCTTACGTTGTGTTGTCATCCGTGGAGGTTGAAACTAGTAACGAGCCAGTTTCGAGACTGTAAGGAATAGAAAGTAAAGATATTTGTGTTCAAATGTAGGAAGTAAAAGTAAAATGTCACCAGGAAAATAAATACTCAAGTAAAGTACAGACACCCGAAAAATCTACTAAAGTACAGTAACGAAGTATTTGTACTTACTTTGTTATGTTAACTTTGTTACTTCCCACCTCTGTGGTCCACACAAGAACAATGTACTCCAGGGCTTAGAAATGACAACACAAGATGTTGACTGTGTGGAAGAACATTCAGCATTTGGAGTACAGGAGAGAAAAAACTGACTGATGAAGTCCTTACATTTCACTCTTTCCGTCTCATACAGACTGTCTCTCTCTCTTTTCTGTGAGCGACACATTGCATTATCACTGTCTTTCTCCTAAACCATCACTCTGTGCTCTGCTATCATTTTTAAATTTGACACGTCTTTCCCTAAATGTGATACCATGTTGGCATCAGATCTTTATCTGAACATTTTTTTTTCCTGCCCTTAGACACCACAGGATGGGGGGTGAGTCCCAGAGGTGCTGGATACTTGTTTGGAAGTGATGTGGTGGCCCAGTTTAATGCCGCCAACGACATCCACATGATCTGTCGAGCACACCAGCTGGTTATGGAGGGCTACAAATGGCACTTCAACGAGACAGTGCTCACTGTGTGGTCAGCACCCAACTACTGCTACAGGTACTGACAGTAAAACTCAAAAAGGTCTTGATTGAGTCAGTGCTGTGTTCTTTAGGGGTGGTCTAATATGAGTGTGAGGCTCTAGTGATAATCAGGGATACTGTTTACACAACACTGTCCTGTTTGATTGGACTTAATATCATGCTGTGGTACAAGCAACGCTCAGCCAGTCTGTTCACAGCAGGAGTTATCCTCAGAAATGCCTGAGTGGAGAAGGATGTAGTGATTTAACCAGTCACAATATGTCTGGTTGGTTTTAGTAATGTGCTAATCCTTATTTGTGTGTGCACATGAATTATGAGAAATATTGTATAAGCAAATGTGTTAACTTTACTCTAATTATACATTCTCAAAAGACAGCATATATTGTCACATAAAAAAAGAAAAACACATATTTCATTTTTGTGGTTGTGTGAATTGTGAAGTGAAGAGAGTTGAAGTGAAGGTGCAGCGGGACAAACGTGAGGCAAAGAATCTCTGTTGCTGAACTGAAAACAAAAATGGTTATTTCAGTGTGGCTGCTACACAGGCCTGTTTAACAGTTGGAGCTGCAGCAATGACACCGCTCACAGAGGCAGATTATATTCTTTATTGGTTAACACTTACTGGGGATATCATTATCTTGGCCACATGTTCCTAAATCAAAAAATGTAAATATGAGTTAAATATCAGGCTTGAAGTTGCAAACCACAGCTTACTTACTGAATCATGCCAATTATACTTCCTGTTTACATCTACCAAAGCATTATGGGAACTGTGGTCCTTAAACTGAAGGGCATGATGAATAAAAAAAACAACAATCTGAGTGACAAGCCAATTGAGGCCATTTTGAACACATTTAGCAGTTTATACACACAAAGCTAGTTTAACATGGTAGATTTTGTAGGATCTGCTGTGAGAAATGGTTTGTTTACCTTCTAAATGTTATTTCTGTTACTTGCCAATATCCTAAACCCTTTTTGGTCTCTCCTCTGGATAATCAGATGTGGCAACGTGGCAGCGATCTTGGAGCTGGACGAGCATCTACAGCGGGAGTTCATCATATTTGAGGCAGCGCCACAAGAGACCAGGGGCATTCCCTCCAAGAAGCCAGTGGCCGACTATTTCCTGTGAAGTCCCCGAGCAGACAGCCACGATGTGTTGAAACCTCCGGTACCATTTCACACCCACCGCGCTCCATCCTGCTGCTGGACAGTTCTGTCAGTCTGAACTCGCAGCAGTTAGACAGAAAACCTGCCACACCCTCTGGAGCTCCAAACAGCTTCAGCTTGAAGAGCTGGATTTTTGCCATACTGCCCACGCCTGACAGAACAGTCACTGTGATAGGTGTAGGGGGGAGGGTGATACTGGGCCCATGACTGTTGTCACTGCTCTTCAGATATAAACTGGTCATTTTCTTTCTCGGCCTCCTTCCATTTCCATCTTCTGTCCTCTCTCACTCTCTGTAGATACAGCCTTCTCCCTCCAAGCCCACGTTTAGCATTTTTTCATGACGAACATTGTCATTTAGTTTTAGAAGTATTTGGAAGGAGTTAGATTTTTTTTTTTTTGCTAACATATGCGGATGTAGGAAGTTTTACAAGTTTATCGTTAAGTAATTCCTTCAATGCATATGTTCTCTGTTTTTGATTTCTGAATAATTGTTGCCGCCAGGATTAAATGCAAAATGACCAAGCCCCTTCCTCCCATTTTTTTTTTTTTTGTTTTTTTTTTTTGTTTTTTTTTTTTTAACTGTCATTTGTCACATGAGTCACTATTTAACATACCCAGTGCTGCTGCTCAGCACCATCACAAATAAATACCATTCATGTAATGGCTCCCAATCAAGAGTCACTATATTCACTGTTGTTTTCTCTCTTAATTCCTTTGAATCTACAAATCTCTGTAGGTCTGTCAATTTTGATATTGTGAGAATAAAGTTTTGTATTAATGCAGATTTATTTGCAGGTGTGATTTAATGACATGTGCTAAACCATTAGATCTGACTTGTTTTGTTCCAACAATCTGAGCTCAGTTGTAAGGTGGCCAGTCTGTCCTTACTTGCCGTTACCACAATAACTGTAGCAGACCCCCCAAAAAACCCTGAAATCACTCTGCTACATGCACACTCTGCATTATAGTGTCACAAATATACTATTTGTACCTGAAGGCACATCAGATTTTTGTCTATCTTATCTACGTTAAATTATGAGAATGTACAATTGATTCCCCTGTTGTGACTGTCCAATGTTTGAACTTGTAATCAAGGATCCCTGGTTTGAATCATGATCATGATCCAACCAACTGAGAACCTTTACCATTGTCAAATATTTTCCTTGAAAATATCCCCATCTGCATGTGGAATCCCTCCACACCTAAAGGGATAGTTCACCCAAAAAAATAAAATTCAATCATCTCAACACTATGCCAATGCATAATGCATGTTGCAGGCAAATCCGTGTTCCCTTTGAGTCAATGTCCTGTCCATTTAGAAACCGAATCTATCAGTCTATTAAGAGCCGCCGGGCTCTTGAGATTCATTCTTGAGATTGTGACGCCACACCTTTATCACAGAGACTATGATGGAAGGTCGCGTCACCTTTATCTCTCTATATTCAGGTGACGGTTCACACAGGAAGATCCAGTCTGAACGTGCAAGGTCACTGCTTCGTGACCGGACAAGTTCTTCCAGGTTGTCATTCAAGACCGACCAAAACCTCCGCTGCCTCCTCCCATTTCCCGGAGCTCCGCGGTTGAACCGGTAGTTTGGGTTGAAAAGGAACAACACCCGGAAACACTGAAGACTCGTCGGTCTGCAGCAGCTGGTCGTTGCGGGGTCTGCGGGGCTGGCGCGGTTTGAGACACAAATCAAAGTCAAAGGTAGATGCAAGAACACGTTGCTCATCATTCTTTTACACTTCTGCTCGGGTTGTCAAACATTAGCGGACTAACTGAAAAAAGGGAACATGTCATAGTGTTGTAAGGGATTTGAAAACACGAGTTCTTGAGTAAATGATTTGAGACTCAGATTAACCTGCTCATGACGCAATGACGTTGTGACCACACAGAGCTGAAACTACTACAACAAGGTTGATTGTATTTAAACAACCAGCCTCAAACTGTTGATACCAGTTCATGTGGAAGCTTAAATCTGTGTCTTTGCCGCCAGCTTGTCTGAACTGTCATGTGGACGCACGTCGTCGTCACTGACCGTGATGTGCGTTCCTCCTTTGAAAAATTAGCTAAATATACTTTAGTTTGCTTTTCCTTGAGAGTGAATGAGGAGAGACACACACCTGAAGACTTTGGAAACGAGTCTTGAAGTCTTGTGATAAATTCGGCTTACAGATATGTTCCATGTCTTTCTTCTCCAGCTCAATGACATAAGATTCTGATAAGATCAATATTAAAGCTATACATCTGTCATATATAAGGCAATGTTCCCGATTGTTATCAAATTGTTTGTGATGTATTCAAGCAACAAATTTGCATTGAGTTGTTTAATTTTTTTTCCAAAATGTCTTTGTCTGTCCCAAAGTAGGACAGCATACTTTGGGTAATCTGGGACAGTCATTTAAGTTCTCTAAATGGAGAAATATGCATTTAGTGATTCCCGATGTTAAAAAAAGATAAACTAAAGAGATGTCTGTATGGTCTGCAGTTGTCAGACAGGGGTTAATGGTAAACACACTCTGTCCCCATCTGTTTAAACCGATTTTCTGGTTAGTTAACTAGCACATAATCAATTAACTCTCACAGAGACAAAAGAGCAGTCTGTCCTGTGGTCTGCAGCCATTGGTTTCACCAAACACGTGGAGAAGAAAATCGGCTCATCTGTGATCATGGTCTCTCACCTGAAAAGAATGTCTTTCCCTGAGTAATAGAATGGTGGATTACTGAATGAATAGACTATTGTTGCTTGAATTGTAGATTCAATTGTTGGGGGGATTCACCTTTTGATGGAATGTTTTAAATGAAAATTATACTTTCTTTAAGATGGGGTTCTTGGAATTATGGCTTTTATATGTTTATATCAAGCAATGATATTTCTGGATATACACTTCCTTATTCAACTCTCTGTCCTTGTTTTCATAATGATTTTTAAAAATTGGTAATATTGAGCTTGGCATACATCCCAGATTTTCAAATTCAGGCAGAATTAGTTTTCTGGCACAAAGAACACCAACAGCTGTGCCATGTCCCCTCTGAGGATCATATCTTCATTATTTCTGCTGGTGTGGTTAGAAAACATGTTAAGGATTACAGAAAGGTATAATATGTTGATCTAATGTGTAAAACAGATATTGGAATCAGTCCCAGAAGTCAAAATTACAGAAAAACTTCCCACATTACTCAAATTCACCCTAATGTTGATTGTGTTCACTCTGGCCCACACTGTCTGTTGCAAATCAACAGTTTACTAAAGAAAGAACCAGCCCATCGAGGACTGAGTTGACTCAAAATGGATCATCAGGTAGTTGCATTACCCTAAGGTCTGTGGGCCAGTATCTGCATCAGAAAATATGTGACCATTTGACCTTTTTAGGGTGAACTAAGTCCACAAGAGTAGTTTTACATGTCCACTTAAATTACATTGTTCCTACAGCTAGCTAGTATTTGTCAGAAACACTAAAGAGGCCTTTATTCCACAGCAGCCATTTTAACATGAAACAGCAGGTAAACACTGGTGTTACTGAATAATGAAGGTACAGAGTCTTAATGAATGTGATGAGTAACACTTCTCTCTGTGTACCTGCTATTCCATGTCAAAATGGCTGCTGTGGAAAAAAGTCAAATCAACGACAGTAGATACAAAAGTAGATATATTACATGTTTTTGTTACAGCTTCACAAATGTGAGTCTTTTGCTTTCTTGTGTTCATGTCCAGTTATTAGAAAGCTGAGCCCTGTTTGTTTGTGTTCCAGGTGCAAGGATGGACACCCATAGCCAGGTTGTGGACAGGTTGCGGGTGGCGTTTCGGTCAGGCGTCACAATCCAAGAGCAGTTTCGACGAACACAGCTGAACAACCTCATATCAATGTTGAAGGAAAACGAGGAACAGATTATAAATGTGCTGCACAAAGACCTCGCCAAGGTACAAGACTGTGCTCATGTGTCTCATAGGCAGTTTTGAGGCATGACTTCCTGTGGAAGTCCGGAGAATTGGGTCCAGACTTTCTGTGGAGTTTGCCATTTACACATACACAACGCAGCAGGAGATTCTCTGCTCGGAAGCGTTCACAACAACACAGAAATCTCCAGAGCATTCAGGTGAGGGGTGGTGCAGCAGGTGGGATGTAACGCCTCAATTCTGCTGAATTTTTGTGTCTGTCGCGTATTAGACACATCATCATCACCCCTACTTGCTCTAAATGAATCCTGCGACGATCTCCTGCTGTGTTCTCACATCAGCTCTTCTGGACTTTCTGCGGACTTTATATCTGGTGATTGGCAGGAGAAAATCTGCAGAAAGTCTGGGGGCTCTCAGTCTGCTTTGCTTTCACACATACATAATCCTACTTTTTGTTTAAAAAGAAGCACACACTCAGTGTTTGAAGCACATCATGTATTTGTTTATAAGCTACAACCCAACAAGCACTAACTTCCCTTTTTGGTTGCTTCTCTTCATCAGCCAAAGTTTGAAGTCGTCCTGTCCGAGGTTGATATTGTGATCAATGAGCTCTACTTTGCCATCGCTAACTTGAAAAGCTGGATGAAGCAGGAGTATGTCTCTAAAAACCTGGTAGGTTCAAACATAATTTTTTGTACTATTTTTTTTATCATAGACCAAAATAATGTGACGTCAAATTTACAAATAATAAAGGTATTTCTGAGAAAGGCTAAAAAGTTCAACTTTACCACCAGCAATGATTCAAATGTGATCATTTAGCCTGTTAGACATTTCTGCAGCAAGGCCACAATTTAAACCTTGATGGGTGGTAAAGTGGCATTCTTGTGATTTTGGTTCAAGCTCCATAACCACTGGAGCCACCATTTTGTATCTATGCATCTTTTATTAGGTCCTTCGCTGCTTTCTAAATGTCCAGTGTTCCAACAACAAACTGGAGGTGTGGTGTCATATCAAGGTTATCGTATCAAAGTTAGGAAAACCTCACAGGGCAGAGGCTACTCCTCGTCAGGAGTAAACTGGCATTAATGTATAAAATCCGTGGGATGCCGTTTAAGTTGCTCTTTAAAAGTTTGATGATGAGAGATGTCCTGATACCATTTTCCACTTCCTCATACTAACTTTGGACTTTGCATATTGGCTATTACAGATCTGATACCATTTATGATTCCTATTATTGTTTCATGGCCTGGCTCAGATTAAACCTTCGAAAAGCAACTACACAGAGAATGAATGCCATAGAATTTCTATTACTATCTAGTTCGACATTATTAGACATAAGTCCTGCATACATGTTGCATTTTTACTTGTTGGACTTTCCGATGTGAAATATTTCTAGATGATATTTGGTTTGTTATTTTCAGTAGATTGTTTATGTACTTTGATTCTTAATTGGGTTTCATTGCATTTGAGTTTTTACATTTTTCAATTTTCAGGCCACAAAGCTGGATGACTGTTTTGTACGGAGAGAACCATTAGGAGTTGTTTTAATCATTGGGGCTTGGAACTACCCCCTGCAACTTCTTATCTTACCCATGGTTGGAGCCATTGCAGCAGGTATGATTCACATCCATATGAGCTGTTGGAGCTGCAATAATCAATCTTTTTTCATATAACTATGAATAAAATATATCTAGTGTTAGATCAAACTTTGTTTATACTTCACACATTATATGCAGTTATCTAAAGTTATCAGCGGTGTGTCAGTCAGGCTGTGTACTCAGTCAAATTGACCTTTATCACAAAGTGAGGTTAGGTGAGGTGATGTCTTCACTTGCTGGTTAATGTTGATGTTTCCGTCTAGGAAACTGTGTGATCGTCAAGCCTTCAGAGATCAGTGCTGCCACAGCAAATCTGATAGCAGAACTCATCCCCAAGTATCTGTCTCAGGTAAAGAAACCTCAGAAGCTTTTCACTGATCTTTTTTGTTGTTGTTGAAATTGACCAATTCAGTCCAGAACCTATAGTGTAATCAAGATAATAAACTCCATAATCCATCACATCATACTTTTGTCCAAGGTAGTCAAAAAACCATTTGAGAGCCAGAATGTTTGAGAACTCGCCATGTGTGTCTAGTTCTCATAATACAAAATTAAACATCATAGAATTCAATATTATTATACATATAGAAAGAGAAGAAAATTGCCTCCCAATTGTAAGTAAAGCGATTAAAATATAAAATGAATTGATCCAAACTGTGTTATTGATGTGACACTCCTTATGATCCTCCACAATCTTCTAAGCTGTTTTCAGACATGAACTCTGTAAAATGTCTGGAAAATTGTGTCTGTACATTTAACAGAGTTTGCATTTAAAGGTCCAGTGTGTAAGATTTAGGTCAAAGGGATCTATAAAATAATCCTCATGATGTTATCACTGGTGTGTTTCATCTAAATTGTTTGAATTGATGTATTCTTTACCTTAGAATGAGCCCTTTATAGTACTTTAAATTTACATCTCTACGGAGGCCGCCATGTTTTTTACATTAGTCCAGACTGAACAAACCAAACATCTTTTGAGTTTTTATGACAACAGAAGCTGCCACAGGTTCTTTTTCATGTTTGGAAGGGGAGGGTGAGGTCTATATATCACTTAATTCTACACACTGTACCTTTAACATAAGAATGCAGTAATATTTCCTGCTGTATTCTTACATGGGCTCACATTTTAAGGACATGCCTGGGGATCGGCAGGAAAGTTTCAGAAAATGTCTGGAGCAATGGACATTTGCGTTCTGTGCATGTCTGAAAGCAGCTATAAATTCTTCAAGTGTATTGCACTCTGCTGGAGGATAAAGAGAAATCTTTCAAAGGACATTACCACATTTGGTGGGAAACTGAAACATCACAACAAAATCTCCCATAGGTCTTTAACCTCCCAGAAGATTCACTAGAAACCTCCTGAGTGACCTCCCTCTGGTCCTCCTATAAATGACCATTAAAACCTCAGACTCCTACTGGATTATTCGACCACAAAACCTGATTTAACCTATAGCTAACCTAAACTAACCTATAGGATCCCTAGAATCTTCTTTAGATGCTGTAAATAATGTTCAATGAAGTAAAATGAAATCCAACAGTGTAAGTGAGCCTCGAGGTTTTCCCTTTATTTGTCAGTCTGTAGCTCTGCTTATATTGTCCCTGCTGATGTTCAGTCAAGACATTGGACTTGAGATGTCATATTAAGTAAATCTAACACTTACAAATGTGACTCTTATCTGACAGGACTGTTATGCAGTTGTTCAGGGTGGAGCAGAGGAGACCAAAGCACTTCTGCAGAACCGCTTTGACCACATCCTTTACACAGGTACGAGCCTCCAAGATGGAGCAGATTGAACTGCATGTCAAAGTATTTAAACGTAGATATGTCTGTTTCCATCTACACTGGTCTACAGACCAGAATGTCTCTAGACTTTATAAAATGATGTTCATCGACAGTGTATATTTAGGGCGTGAGTGAGTGTGAACCATTTGCTCTGTTTGCTTCCATCTCTGATCAGATTTAATCTGGAGTTTCCCAAGGTGCTTCAACAACATTAAAAATAATTTAACTTATAGAAAACTCAGTAAGCCTACTAATCAATGTCAATAAGAGAGTTTGCTAATATTAGCTGCAATGGGACATTAATGACACAAGACCATATAAGACTATAACAGTGAAACATGAGGGTTTTGCATTGATTGCTTAAGAATATCTCTTTTCATTTGTGAGGAAGACATAAAGAAACTTTGGTCTTTGTGAACTGTACTTGGTCTGTGCATTATCCTCTGAAGTACTGTGCAGTAACAGTCCAGTCAACTGGCTTACTATTACATGATCCAACATTTTTCATATACGTTACTATGATGTGCAGTTAGCAATCTGTTTAAGTATTAACTATATTTTAAAATAATGTTTTAACCCTGCATAATAAGTTGTATCTTTAAACCCGGTCCAGTAATGGAACATGTGCAGATTTTGGTCATTTTATTATTTATTATCTGAGCTGGTATTTTACATGTGAGGATCGTAAAACATTGATAATTTCATATTATTCTCTAATGCTTATTGTATTGTGTCAAGGACACTAATGAATTTACCACCAATGTGAGAATCAGGTCAAACATCATAGAGGGAGCCATGAATGGTGTGTTCAAACCCCAGAATCAGATACTGGACAAGTTTCAAGAAAACGCAAAGCCTTATCAACAGAATTAATCACATGAACCGACTTGTTGGGCTGTGAGATTTTGAAATGTAGTTCATACTCTTCAGAGGAAGAATCTTTTCCACTTTGGACACTGACTTTCTCTTTCAGGTTCTCAGAATGTGGCACGCAGTATCCTGCAGGCAGCTGCAGTCCACTTGACTCCAGTGACCTTGGAGCTGGGTGGCAAGTGCCCGTGCCTCATATATGGTCAGGTGAACCTCGCAGCTACTGCTCGCCGCTTGGTGTGGGCAAAGTATTTCAACTCTGGCCAGAGTTGCGTAGCGCCGGACTACGTGCTGTGTTCACCGGCTGCACGGGACGCCCTGCTTCCTGAACTGCGTATAGCCATAAAGGATTTCTATGGCGAGGAGCCTCAAGCCTGTCCCGACCTGTCCCGCATCGTGTCCCTCCGACACTGGACGCATGTGATGGAACTGCTCGGGAGGTCCAAAGGCAAAGTTGTTGTGGGAGGAGAGAGCGACCAGGAGGACAAGTACATAGGTAGGTTAAGAAGCAGGAGTGTTCAGTAGATAAGAGAAATGCTCTGCACCATGTGAGCCAGACTGATAAGAGTCATAGTTTTTACATTACATTACTATTTAAACAACAAACATCTCCCTTTTTTTACCTGAACCAAAGAGATCATGTATAAATCAATGTCGTTCTTTTTGTCTGTACTTTCTCAACAATTGCTCATCCGATCGACTTCAGACTTGTACTGTCGAGGACACAGATCTTTTTAGAAGAACAGTTCTGGAGAAAGCTTCACACATTGCTTTTCTAAATTTGACTTAAAATGAAAAACAAAAGGTGTAACTCCAGTACAATGGAAGTGCAGCGGCTAGGCAGCAGGCAAATGCCCCAATTTCTTAGGTGGAACTGTGCTGTGCAGACACTTTCTACATCCAGACACTAGGCTGACTCACAGGTGGACAAGATCTAGATTCCTGCGTTAGCTAAGGCGATTTACATGAAGAGGATACGGTGAAGGAGTGTAATGGAGCAGGGAGAGTTATTTATTTTATTCTTTTCAACCTGCAAAATAACAAAGAGGTTGGCTGATGTTGTCCAATAAGAGCACAACATGGCAATGCACAACTCCTTTTGCTGAAGTGGAGAGAAAAAAAACTCCCTCATGAGCAGGAAGAAACCTCTAGAACCAGACTCAATGTGGGCGATCATCTGCCTCGACCGACTGGGGGAAGCAGGGTGAAATGGGGAAGAGAGGAGAGAAGAGTGGAAAAGAAGGAAGAGAGAGATGAGGGAGAGGAGAGGGAGAGACCAGGGACACTTGTGCACCATCACATCTTCACAGCCTTGTCATGTTTCCCAAGTGGAAAAGCTTTTTCAAACGAGGTACAGATGCCACATTTACAAGTTTACGGCTTTTGGGTGGCGACGTTGAAGTCACGCGACAGCGGTGTGGTTTGTTAATAGCCTAACATCAGCCCTTTTCTCTTTCTGGTGATTGTCGGCCTCAATTATCCCAAAAGCGGTTAATTTATCGA